CTGAAGAAGTCTTCGAAATGTGACTAATCTTGGTAAAGGTCACAACAAACCAGCTGTAAGGACTGAATGTATCTTATCTTATTGAATTATCAGCAGAAATGTTGAGTCCTAAGCCGACTCCATTTGCGACGTGGGTAGAGTTTTGGTTTATCTCCATGACTGATCCCACTCATTCAGGGTGGATTTTAATGCCAGCTATGAATGATGAACAGTAGTTCCAACAAAACAGTTCACCTGTCTATATCGATTTTTTGCTGTAAGTAAGACCTTCCATTCTCACCTTCATAAAAAATCAGAAATTTATTTTTAATCTGTTAAACAAAGGACTGAAAGTAAAATTCAGGTTCACCAGAACTGAGAAAACTATATGTTGGTTCTTCTCACCGTGAGATGAATGGTGTGTAGTCTCATTAGAGACGTTAACATGCTGGATTTCAGCTCAGTGCTTCTTCTAAGTCCCAAAATGACAGACAACTGGAACCTGCGCAGGACAGTGAGGGGAGCTGAGAAAGTTTTTCTTTTCTGAATTGGTTCTTCATAACACTTGCATTCGTAAGAATCGTTTAAAATAGAATTGAATTGTGTTTTTCAATTGTAAATCATGCATTTTCTTAATATGCATGAGTTCCAATAAAATGTTTAGCATAAAAAGTTGTCATTTTGACATGGCATTGTTTTTTTTAATAACTGCTTTTTTCACCCATCCTACTAGTTTACTGAGAGTCAATTTAAAACTGATTGTTGGCTTTGCAGAAGAGGCTTGAGTCTGGAATAAATTGTTAATTTTTTTTCCCCCTCAAAGTCAACAAAGTATCATTGAACATATGCCGGGCACATCTGGCTTTATTATTTTACCGAAGCTCGAGAGAAACACCTGCATCTTGGATTGACCTCAGGGGTGCCAGATGCTGATTGGCAGCTAGAATAATTATAGAAATAAAAGTAAAGTATACAGATGACCAGATTATATGTGAATGTGCAGTAAAAAAAAAAAAAAGTAAACGTAGAAACAATTTACAGTCATTTCCTGCTTGTTTGATAGATTAATAGATCAACCTGATAGGATTACAGCTTTATTATCTGTTTGTCTTATCTCTATAATGACAGTATTGGCCCAAGTTGCTGTTGAGGCTCTATTCAGCATATTAGATTTAGATAACTATATATTTTTTTGTTCTCAGTTCATAACAGCCTTTGAAACTGCTGCATGAGAAAACACAGAATAAGTGTTATTCTATGTGTATACTTTTAAAAAAAGCTCCTCCTCACCCGAGACATACATGTTATTTGTAATATCTGAAATCACAAATATTACAAATAGGCAGCGATAACACATCGTCCAGTATTGCTGGAATACTCTGTGGTACAGGAAGCATCAGCTTTGAAGAGAACAGCAGTCATATAGTAGTGTCAGTATACTAGAGTTGTCTCAATCAGGTCTTTTGCTGGGCTTGCTTACAGTCAGAACGGTTGTGCAATAACCTTTTCCCAATGCAACACATGTTTCATATGTCAATAAAGAAACAACAAATCTGTAGCTTCGGGGTTCGTGATTCAACAATAGGAAAGAGTCTGGGTGAAAATGGCATCAAACTTCTGCCGGCAAAGAAAAAGAAAGCAAAGGTCTGCCTGTTTAAATAAAAACCAAAAACCCTCTCGCTGTACATTAGTGTAGATTCTCAGTTATCCAGGACGTGACAGTCATTTATTTAGATTGAAGGCAGCTGGATTTCAACAAGAGAAGCGATGCGAGAATAAGTTGATGAGTCTCCAGGCTTTTTTGGAGGAAACAATTCTTTGTGTGTGTGCATTTTGGAAACATGGCACTCTGGGAGTAAAACGGTGTGTTGGTAGAGACGGCTCTGTGGCCTCAGGACGTGGATGACATGGTGTAATGCGCCCATGTCTTTTTCACAGCACTGTATTTTGTTATGATGTGCATGTGGGGTCTTATTTATTTTTTTATTTTTTTCAGCATACATCCAATCATAGCCAAGAGCTCAGTGGGGAGGGGCAGCCTCTCCGCCCTACAACCAGTTTCTCGAACTGCTTAATTCAGTCCAGCATCGTCCTTCTCCACAAGTCGCTGTGCGAGAGGCTGGGAACATTCTGGATCTCTTGTGCCATCACAGGGAGTCACGGAGACAAGCATGATGGACAGGCACTCTCACACTCGAGTCTCCTTCATGTGAGGAATAGTGCCAACCACTGTGGCTGCGATCCACAGTCACCCTTATCATGAAAAAAAAAAAAAAAAAACTATAAAAAACCACAGTTGTGCCACCCTGCGTTTTTTCTTTTTCCTAAATGAATGGCTATTCGTTTCATGTAAAATATGCATCATCCGCAGGCTTAAACAAAAAGGCCACAGTTTAATGACTGCGACTGACCTTTAGATTTTTTTTAAGGCCATTACAGCTCCTCCAGCAGATATTTCTGCACATGATCACCCTGCTTTTTTTTTCCTCCCACCGTTGAACACTAATGAGACGTGTTACCTCCCGTCACATACACGCCTCCTGCTGGTTTCTGTGCGGCCTCTTAATAGTTCAATTGCAGCATACATAACACCACATCAGCGCAATTTGTCAGCTCGAAATAGTATTACAAAGTAATGACTAAATAATTAAATATAGTTATATAATTAATATATTTGATTCTATTATCTGCTGCTACATTTGGCGTTTTCTGTTCTGTCCAATAGCCCTTTAGTCATGTTGTTGCTGACACCCTTGTTGCTCATAGTCTCTCTTAGCCTTGTTCATGACATTCTTCTCATACACACGCACGCACACACACACACACTCAATTCAGCGGGGACGTGCTAATCTGTGAATCTATGATTTCTCGTTTAACGCTATTTACAAGGAACAGTGTATGGGGTCACACAGCCAGCAAACACTGCTGGCTGTGTGAGGCTCTACGGGTGTCTGTGAGCTGTGCAGAAACCATTAGTGTAATAAATAATGCCCCTTAACTGCTTCTTTCGCTGTCAGTTTTTCTTCTTTTCTATCTGTTTTTTTTTTTTTTTTTTTTTCTCAATTATCAGCATTATTGGCCAGAAGCAGAAATCACGGCCCAGCACTGTACCGTCGCAGAAGCGGAAAGAGAAGAGAAAAAATTCTTCTCCAGAGAAATTAGGAATTTAGCATCAGTAAAGTGTAAGGATTATCCACATAGAAGAAGAAGGGTAGCGCATATAATTGAAGCAAAGGTTTCTAAATCTTGCCATGCCAGGACGGAATGTTACATTTAATTATTTCAAGGTTTAGTTAAAGAAATGATTTCAATTTCCACAATTGTAAAAGTCAACATGTGGTGTTGTGTGTAATTCTTTGAGCAGTTGAGCGTGGGACTGTTTATAATCCAGTTCATAATTCACTTCCTGATATTTGGCTTGATATATTTATTTCCCCATGATGTTGTTTTACACTCCTGCGCTTCCGTCTAACACACATGTTGTGGTTGAATATAATTGATCCAACTATGCTGATGGCCAAGTTTGTTTATCTGTATACTGAAGTTTGTATCAGGAAACCAAAGGTTTCTGACGAAGTCCACAAGCTGACAACGAATGTTTCTCAATAATTCAAGTGTTGCCAGAGCCCTCATCTCACCACATGCTTTAAAAGAAGTCACATATTTATTCTAATTTGACTCTGATATTCCATTTGACTCTGTTATGTGTGCCTGATCAGATTAATAAGCAGCTTTAGCAAATTTTGTATTCACTTTACTGCTAGTAAAGCAACATTTGCTGTTTTAGGAAAACTTCTCACTAGCTACATTTTTGTTTACTTTGAGTTTTTCATTGAATTAACAACATCCTGTTTGTTGTTTTGTTGTGCAGATGCGATGTGTTGTACGTTTGTTGGATCAAATGCGGCTTAGTGTGCAAGAAAAAGCAAGTCCTATAAAGTAGTGCCTTAAATATGGCCTCTACATCTTTCTTGGGATTTCAGCATCTGTTCTGTCCACCAGTCACTACGGCACTACAAGACTTCATGTTGTTGTGATACTCAAGACAGAAATAGCTGCCAAGCGCCCAGTAATACTGTTCTACTAGACTAGGGTCATTTCCAGCGAAGGCGGCTCAGGTTTTGGCAGGCTCTTATTTGGCACAGTACTGCTAATTTTATTAGCGGCTATAAAAAATGATGAGAATGCTTGGATAGCTTTCAAAGCAAAATAGCTAAAGCATTATGGTCAAAAAGAAATATGTTTTCAGCTGATTTGGTCGTTGCTGTTTTAACTTCTTAGGCAATTTCTAGCTTTAGATGAGTGTGGGGACATAGATAGACTGGCAAACCGAGAGCTTCACCTTTTGGCTCAGCTCTCTCTTCACAGTGACAGAGCGGCACATCACCCGCCTGTCCGTCTCCCGCTTCATTTCTCCGTAACTCATGACCAGAACTCATAGCGCACTTTACTCTCTCCCGTCTCAAACTGTGTTTTATTTTTTCTTGGAGGTCCAGGTTGTCATTCCCACCTACTTCACACTCGGCCATCAACTGCTCCAGTGAAAGCTGTAGATCACGTACTGATGATGCTAGCAGAACCACATCATTTACAAAATAACAGAGATCTGACTCCGAGGGCACCAAAATAGATCCCCTACACACTTTGGCTCCTGCCCAGAAACTTTGTCCATGAATGTTACGAATAGAATCAGAGACAAAGGGCTGTGAGTTCAACTTAGTGCGTGAAATGGCTGATCAATATTGCTATGCACAGATGAATTAATCGGGCGATGTTATCCATTTATCCCTTGTTAGATGCTCTTGTTTTCATCCGGACCTGTCGGTGGGGTTTGCTGCAATTCGTTGGGCAAAACTACCAATTTGTAGCCTTGACCTCGTTGACATTTTCAACTTGACTGCTTAACAACATCTAATAAAAGACAACTACTACTCCTGTAATTAGTTTTGCAATGCAACGGCTTCTACGACAAATTACTGCGTGAAATGGTAATAGTTTTTATCGTTCTTTCTGCCATCCAGATGCAGCATCGATAGCAAAGTCTCTCGAGTGGCTTGGCTCAACCGCACCACCATTCTGTTTGCGGGGACTGAGAAGTGGTCTTTGGATCCCCGCGTCATCCTGATGGAGAACAGTGCCATCACAGAATACAGCATTCAGATCCAAAACGTTAACATTCACGATGAGGGACCTTACGTCTGTTCCATCCTCACCAACAAGAAACCAAAATCCACAAAAGTGCACCTCATTGTCCAAGGTAAGTCGCTGGATTGCGTACAGCTGCTGCGGCTTTGTCAGGGATTCATTTCAGCTGCCAGATGTCAATCTCTTGTCCCCTTGGGAGTTCACTGTCAGGCTAAAAATCAAAGGGGAAAGCTTTAGAGGGTGTGATAAGATGATTTTTTTTAAAGAGTATCAAACCTGATGATGAAACTGACATTCATTCACAATTTAATTATAAATTCCTTGTCAATATTAATAGTGGGTGTTGTACAAAAAAAAAAAAAAAATTAAAAGCCTTTCATCTTGATGATGAAATCAGTTTAATCCCCACTTTCTACAGCCGTTGAGCTCAGTAATCAAGGATTTTTATGAGAAGTCTAAACCCTGTGGCTACACCAGAAGACATTTAACGAAAGATCAAACATAATTACTACATTAGCTAGTAGAGATATCTGATGGAGAATCAAAATGAGAATGTGCAACATCAGAACTGAGCTGTCTGCAATCCTAAGAAGATAAAGATTCCCCTGTTTATGATTCTGTAATCTGCAGGGAAACCAACTCCAGTAAAACATGCTCAGTGGAACTCAATAAAACAATAAAATTATCTTATTAACGTAATAATTTTTTTCTCTCATTAAATTATAACCTTAATTACCACTGGCCAGCATTAATTAACAACGCTATCAAAATACGTTGAAACGAAAAACCCCGAAGAGTTGGGCCCCGGCTTTAATCAAATCAAATATTAGCCAAGTCTCTCGCAAGATATTATGCATTCACAAGATGCAATTTGCCGTTTTTCTCTCTCTCCATGTTCGCTAACCGTGAAGGCTTGTGCAATCTGCACCACTCCAGTCTCACAAACAGATCTGGAGATAACAAATTAAAACAGAACCAAGTGCTAAATACACTTGGTTCTGCACAGTTTTTGCCAAAGAAAACGTGCATTTTGACTATGCATTGGTGCATGTCAGAGTGTGTGAACATCAAAATCCTGGAACTGTTCTCTCATAGCTCTTATATCACAGTGTAAACAAATATGTCTGCTAAAGTGCTCTATGTGAAAGCACTAGTACTATAGCATTTTACAATACCACTGTTCCTACATTAGCTAGTTAGATATTACATGCTCACAGCAAATCCATGTTTTGATTACGCTACTTATTGTTATCACAATATTAACTACTGGAGTGTTACAGAACACACAACACATGCATAACTCAGCTGACAGTAAAAAAAAAAAAAAAAAAAAAAAAAAAAAAATGGCAAATGCTTTTTCCTGGTTCTTTGAAACAAAATTATAAACTGAAGAGGCTTTAAGGGTTCAGATTATGGAACACAAGATTTTTATTTTATTTTTTTGCAGTGCTCAACCTTTCATGTTATTTACCCCCTAATCCTTACAGGGCAGAAGGTTTTGGTTCCTTTCTTTGGGGGTTTCGGCTTATAGCCTCTTCAACATTTGCACTCAAGTGAAAATCCTGAGCTTTTCTTTGACTAAAAATGTCTTTTTAACCTTTCAAAATGTCTATTTGTGGACAAATAGACATTTTTTTATTAAAACAAAAAGTATGTTTTGATAAACATACTTTTTATTCAACCCAAATCGCCACAAGTGACACACATAAAAGCAAACGCGCAGTGATAAACCAAATTATTGGACTGCTCTATATCATAACCCATCAATCCACATGGCAAAATGCAGATATATTCTAAATTGTTGTGATCTGAGTTTTTCTGTGCGCTTTGAGTTTTCTGTGTCTCTGAGTCTCCGTGTCGTCTTGACTCCCCTTGGTTACTCCCAGGTGTTTCTTGTTCCGTGAATCCCCTCCGTGTATTTAACTCCACCTGTGTTCCTTGTTCTTCGCCGGGTCCTTGTCTAAGTGTTCTCAGTCCATTCGTTTCCTCCAGTTTACTACCGGTGTTGAGCCCTGGTTTCCGCTCAGCCGTGCTGCCTGGTTGGACCGTTTTTGGATTGTGCGTCATCATTAAAACATTTAATCTTTTCACCTTTACCTGGGTCTAAAAATGACTCAAACATCTCCTGGTTTAAGTTATTTTAAGTAAATTTAAAGGTGCCATTCAGTTTAACTAAAATAATCAATGCCTCCACACAGCGAACAAAGATACCAACATGTCCGTTGTGTCACAGATGAAACAAGAATCCTGCCTGCAGCCTTCGTATGATTGTTTTTGTTCTCATATTGAAATCTGAGAAAATGTTTGTCCTTTCTGTCATGATTCTGATTCAACTTGGAAACATTTATCTGAGCCTCATTTTCAGACATTTTAAGCACACAAGCGCTAGTGCTTAAAATGTTGTCAATCTTGCATTGTTGCAGGAAATTTGGAACATACTTCTAATTTAGGGTCCTTCTGCAGAGGAGGTAGCAACCAGCAAACAGCTCTGAAAGTGAAAGGAAAACCGTGTTGCTGGTGCTGCAGCCGTAATATCTGAGTGACAATGTGACTTTCATGGGAGATGAAAGTTCACTGTTGCTGCTGCTGACATCTAGAGGCCTTATCATTGTTGGGGAAACACAGTGGATTCAAATCCACAATATGGAAACGTGGATACCTTTTAAAACACACACACACAGTGTTGGAACCAAAAATGTGTGACTTAAGGGTTGAATGCAAACCCAGTGCTGCCCATTGAGGGCCACTTCTCTATCAGTAATCACCCTCTCTATACATCTGTCTATTTGTCAGAGAACGGACCACAAATCAATCCTTCATGCAGTCCCACTCCCACCTTGCACTCCTCTGCCTCTCGTACAGCACACCTCACTGCTGTCTCACAGCTCTTATACATACCCCGGCCCATTACCTTTCCAGACTTCCTCCTGCCATACCATGGCTTTCACACACTGTCTCTAAATCTACTAAAGATCAATCCAGTTCCCTCTGGCCGTCTCTGTGCTTCTCCATCGGCATCACACAAACAAAATTTGCATCTGAGTTGTGTTTCTTGGCATGAGACCATAATCCTCACTTCTGACTTACGCTTTGCTTGTACTGCTCTTTTTCCACAGCGTCATCATATGACTCATTAGTTTTGCTTTGTCTGCGGTTGACGCAATTCTTCTGCCTTGTTCTTAAAATTTGGCACTAAAACACTTCTCAGGCGTCTTTTCACTCTTCAACATCTCATTGAACAACCCAATAAAAACCTCTGCTGCCACATCTCCTAAAACATTCCCACGGGTTTATTGTCTGGACCCTTGCTTCATTCCTACAAATCTCAGCTACATGCTGCTCCACAGCAGCCATCTATTCTACTCTGCATTTTCTCTCATTTCCCTCATTCATCAGCTCTTCAAAGTACTATTTCCGTCATTCCATCATTAATTTGGGACTTGTCAGTACATTGCCCTCCCTGTCCTTAATCACCCTTACCGGCTGAACACCATTTCCATCTCCATGTGTCTGCTTTGCCAACCTGTACTAATCATTCTCTCCCTCCTTCCTATCCACCCTGCTATGCAGGTCATCATACACCTTTTGTCACCTCTTCCTTCACCATCCGCTGCATCATTTACTCCCAGACGACACAACAAACACCCCTCTGCATGTCTCCCTTATCTCATTATCTGTAGCCATTCACTCATCTGGGAGTCACCACCAAGAGCCTGTCTCCATTGATCCCTGAAAATCCCTCAGCATTTTCAGTTTTTACCACCTGGTCGTCAGCTTTGCTTTTTTCTTCATCTTCCTCACCATCAATTTTGGTTCAATTTCAGTTCGTTTTTTTTTATTTGGTGCCAATTCACAACACGTCATCTCAAGGCTCTTTACAGAAAAAGGTTATTTCAACTCGATCATGCTTATATTCTGTCTGTAGCTGGACATGCAGTGTAGCTATTATCTTGCATATCACTACCTTGCAGACAACACAAGACTGGACCGATCCACTACGGAGTCCAAGTTTGGTTTAGCTGAGATTAACCTGAGTCAACCATCTGCTTGTGACCCCTTATGCTTGCATTATTTAGACAAATGAATACACTGCAAAATAGTCCTTGATTAGTTGATGATTTATGTGCGTCTTTTGTGGTGGTTATCCACAACTTATGTTCTTTAAACATATGACTTTCTAAGCTACAGAAAAGAAAGCTTATTATAGCAATTGACCTTATTCCATTATTATCATTTCAACAAGCTAAGTTTATTAGAACGGGACTTAATATAGCTTCAGAGATTGTTCAAAAATGGTGCATAAAAGGCATACATTCAGAGGCAGCAGGTGATTTTTGCTTTGAGGTTTCTGTCAAACCTCACTGGGCAAGATGAGGTTTGGTTTTGGTTCAGAGCTTAAGGGGTCTTTTCCTTCATACAAAACACTTTCAGAGCATTCATTTCGCCTTGCAGTGTCTGTTACCTGTTACGGCTCTGAGCTTTATTGGCTGGGTTGCAGGGGTTTTTGTCGTCTGCCTTTGTGCGCCTCCCCTTTACAGGTGTTGCTGATCTGGTAATTTGGAGAACAGAATAAATAAACCAGGCCGTCTCTACCTTTGGGGTCACCTTTCACTGTGCCTCTTGGTGCTTTGGTGTTCCCTGCCGCATGCACATTTGAGCTTGTCTTTGTTTTTGCACTTCACCTCCATGCATTTGCATTACACCACTGACACTGACTTTCACAATCCATAGTAGTTTTTGTCAATAAATATGTATTTTCTGCACTTTAGCCACTGCATGGTCTCCTGCTTTTGTTATGACTTTGAGCCAGTCGTAACGGTGTCGATCTGCAGACAGCAGATGTAAGATCCAGAAAAGTTCAGTAGATGTTCAAGAGTCAAACAAAATCCAAAAGTCACTAGAAACTTTGAGTGAAGCTGCCTAAACGGCTCATGTATTTTTTTTTTTCAACAAAATAACTGAGCTGTTCTGGCAATATTTTCAAGATGTGAAATAAAAGGGATATTAAAGGTAGGCCTGTAGTCTTTAAGTTGTGATAGATTAAAAAAAGTATTGCAGATTTCTAAAGTACCAGGGCCAAATTCAGGAAAATCTGTTCAATACAACATCAGG